CCATTAACACTGTCCCTGCAAGTCAGACTCCAGGGTGGACTGAGAGTGGGGACCCACTGGGAGAGGAGGGGCAGGAAGCAGCCGTCCTGCACAGGGCCCCTCCTGTACTGTGAGACACCCCCTTCAGTGCCGCCTGCCTGCTGTCCACTGCTCCCAAGTGAGCCCCTCACCTGGCCATTGTTATCAAGTCAGCTTTGTTCAAAACAAGATTGCTTTGTATCAACGCATCCCTTGCCTGAGCCTAGAAAATTCCCCGGGCTTTTCAGAGAAGCTTTTCTTCTTCCTTCTCTCCAGTGTTTATTTCCTTGGCGTGTTTCCTGTAATTTGCAAAGATTAAAGATTTAAGCTTCTTTTATTGCCATGTACTTTCCCTGCCCCATTATGCATTCTGCCCAACGCTCCCGTCTCTCCTCCAGCAGAGCTCCCAAATCCTTTCTGCATGCACAGAGAAACCCTCCCCAGGTAGGTCTCACCTCGCGCACGCCACAGCCGTCCTCCTGAAGAGCGTGGGAGAACTTGGCTGCTGCAGGTGGCACTCACTGCACCACCCTCCTCTTGGTTCCGCATGGTCTTGCATGTGAAGCCGCCTGGGTTTCAGTTTGGTCTCAATTAACAGGGGCTCCTAACGCCATGTGTGCAACAGCTTTCCTTGTCTCTGGGCTCCCTCTCCTCTCTCTGGGGCTTTGGATCCTGGTGTTCATGATGTGTAAACAAATCCTTCACTGCACCAGGGGCCTGCACTCTTTTAAAGGAAGTCAGTGTTGAAGCATTTGATGATGGGAGTCATAGGAGGGTTTGAACAATCTGTCCAGCACCCATCAGGCTACGAGGGCAGCCACACAGGGCCCCCTGGGCTCAGAAGGACCATATGCTTGGTTTAACGCTGTGTGATCACCATATGGAAATCCTTTCTTTATTTTTTATAATAATTTGTTTTTTTACAAATAGATTTTTGACAATATTGTTTAATGATATTTTTAACAAGGGCTCCACATTTTCATTTTGTACTAGGGCCCGCAAATTATGTAGGTGTCACAGTTATCGTTAACGGTCATTGTTGCTGTCCTGTGTGCAGCCTCACCTGCCTCTCCAGAGTCATGGGCAGCTGGCATTTCCCAGGGTGGATCAGAACCCTGGCAGATACCCAGGACATCAGAGGGCAGGGAAGAGCAGACCCACACAGAGGAGGTTTGCTTCATTCTGTGTTTATAGAACTCTGCTCTGTGCCAGCCACTGTGCTACGGGATTTAGGGGACATGACAATGAAAAAGATATTCCCTCTCCTCCTTCCCCCTGCAGAACCCCAGAGGTATGAACCAGGACATCTGCTTGCATTAAATGGACCACACTCCTTGCGGGGTAGAAAACGTACTGAACTAAAAATCAGGAGATGTAGCTTCAAGTCCTCATTCTGCTCCTGACTTGCCAAAACAAACAAGGTGTTTCCCTTTTGTGGACTAAATCACTATTTGCCCAAATGTGGTTGGCCTCAGATAACCTCTATCAGAATTCCTGAGAATGTAGATCTCTGGGCTCCCTCCACCCACAGAGACTGGATCAGAATTTCCAGGGGCGAATCCCAGCAATCATAATTCTGAACACTCTGGATGATTCTAATGTGCCATCTTAGCTTGGGAACTTCTGAGGTAGGTAATCTAAGGTCCCCTTTGGATCTAACAGTCTGAGAGTAATAACTTGGCTCTAAATAATTTTGCCATGTCCAGGAAATGGATGAGAATTGGGGGTGTGAGGACAGCGATTTAGGGGCCTGCCGTTCATAACCAACCTGTAGAACAATCCATAGAAGGAAGCCAGGGGCAGTTCCAACAAGAACCAGAAGCAAGGTCTATCTGGAATAAGTACCTAGGGTAAGCAACACCCAGGGGACTCAGGACTGCAGCCACGGTCTGGCCATGAATATGCATGGTTCTGTGCTCAGAACCCCACCTAGTCACCTTCAGGTGACAAGCCACCCTCAAGAGGCATCCGCTTAGGAAGGCAAGATGGTAGAGTCCTCACCCCTCCTGCAGGGCTGAGAGGGCTGCTTCATAGCTGGATATTCTAGAACTGTGCTGTCCAAGGCTGCCGCTAGCCACATGGGTTGAATTCATTTGATTTAATGAAAACGAAAGCTCCATCCAGTTCCTCAATGGTACTAGCCATATCATGACCCATAGCTACTCCTTTGGACAGCACAGGTTCCAGAGTATTTCCTTCTTTGCAGAAAGCTCCCCTGGATCGTGCTGTTTTAGAAAGAGCAGAAACTTTACCCATCACCTTGGCTCTTTTCATGTGATCGCTGGACATTTGTAAAGAAATGCGGTTACTTTAGGATTTTACTCTCTCTCCCCTACCACTGATGCTTCTGGAAGAAGCTAGCATCTCTTTCAAATCCCTAACCCCTCCTGATTAGCCTCTGGCGGTTCTCGCTGGCAGCTCGAGGTCTGTTTTGCCCATTACTCTCAGCGCCTGCGTCCGAGAGGCTTCATTTCTCATTTCTTCCTGTAAGCCCTGGGTTCGCGCTGTCTTACTGGCTCTAAGGTTTCCTGAGCTCGGTTGTACAGCACATGCGCACAGCTTCTACTATCTCTGGAAAACAAGTTTGGGCACCTCTCCAGTTCCCTCCCACGGCTGGCTGAACGCGCCTTGGGTTCCTCCCAGCACAGGTGTCCCTGTGATCTCCACATCACACCACGCTCATCCCTCCCCACTTTGAGCCTGTTCATCAGATCCTCATCTCTTTCTTGGGCAGACGTTAGAAAATAGGGCCCCTGAAAGCTAACCACCCGATCCCCTTCTCCTACCCAGTCCTCCCTCTCCTGAAGTCCTTCCTCATCTAAAAACCTTCACAGAGACTCCACCTGTGTGCCAGGCCCTGGGCGAGGTGAGGAGCAGAGGAATGAGTCCATTCACCATCTACAGGAGACAGTGACACACACCACAGTTGCCCAGAGATGTTTGAATGGGAGTTTGGATGGTTGGTCAGGGGAAACAAATTGCAGAACAATTAGCTCTGTTGCTGGGAAGGGGAATGTATTCCCAGATCTCCTGGGAGTCTCTCGCACTCTATGAAGCCATATTCTGGCCCAGGGTCTCTTTTCCTGATACCCAGTGTCCGCCACTGCTGGACTCCTTGTCTGAATTGTGAAAGCCCTGCCTGTCCTTCCCCTGGCCCTGTCTGCCTAGTGGACTTTCCTCTCCATGCACCCCCCTGACCTTGGACTCTCTCCCAGCTTCAGTCTACCCATGCCTGACTCAATTGGTAGCTCCCGTGGGTTCAACGGTTCCTGCCCATCCAGCCTTTCTCTTCCGTGCCAGGTTTGGTGTGCCCAAACCATAACCCCAGTACATCCTCCCTCCCTCCATGTCCCCCTGTTCCATCTTCTCTCATTCCTGAATTTACCCATCCTCTCCTCCATTCTTTTCTTTGACAACATTTCTTGATCTGGACTCCAGACTGACCCTGCCCATTAATAATGATTAATAGTGAAGTTTGATTCCAAATCTCTCAGAGTCATTCAACAGGCATCCCCTGAGTGCCACTGTGCCTGGCCCTGAGCAGGACCTTTGAAATCTGAATGGAAATTCCAGCACTTGGCCTCAGGATGCTGCAGCTGATGGAGGAGGACAGTCAGAGAAAGGATGGTCCTAGGGAGTGGCAGAGGCTCTAGAGGGTAGGTATGGAATCTACAGCAGAGCAAGAGAAAGGGGATGCTGGGGGCAGGGCTGGGAACTGACTCTTCAGTGACAGCAATGACTAGATGAGCAGAAAGACATCCCAGACAGAAGGCGGTGCACATTCATCTGTACCCAACAGGGGCCAGTGACAACTAATCCAGATAGCCCCTAGAGCATGGCCACAGGGTGCCCCAAAGCAGGGTGCTACCCAAAGCAAAACTGGACCAGGGGTATGTTAAGGAGCTGGGCTCCTGATAAGTCAGAGAGAGAGCTGTTGGGCTTGCATTTTCAGAAGCCCATTCTGCAGCTATTTAGAGAGGGTAGGACAGAGAGCGGGGTCCAATAAAGGCGGATGTAATCCCCTAAGCACATGCCCCACCAACTGTGAGCAGAACATAGTGGGTGAGCCAGGCTCCACCACCCACTGCCACCTCCCACTGCCAAGGGCCATTTCTCCTGCCCAAGGGGGAAAGGAAGGGGCAGGGGCTTCTGCTCTAGTTGCCTCTCTCCTGCAGCACCCAGAGGGCCAGCCCTGGACTTTCCTTTACACTGCTATGGTTTCTTCCTGATAGTCTCTCCCTCAGCTCCCAGTCCAGGAGAAAAGTTAGTAAATTAAATAAAAGAGCTTCAAAGAATCTACCCAAGAGGCTGGGAGGGCGTTGCATTTGGTCAAAGACCTACCCATTACTGGCTTTGTAATCCCATTCTACAGATTTGGCAACTGAAGCAAAGACTTGGCCTACCTGCCCTGCATTATCTTCCCATAGCTACTGTAACAGGGTACGTCAAATGTAGTGCGCACAAACGACACAACTTTGTTATATGAGGATTCAGACATCCAAAACAGGTTTCGCTAGGTTCGATAAAATCAAGGTTATTGGCAGAGCTGTGCAGCTTTGGGGGGCTCTAGGAAGAGATCCACTTCCCTGACTTTTCCAGCTTCTGGAAGCTGCCTCCATCCCTTGGCTTGTGGCTCTTCCTGTGTCCTCAAAGCCAGCAACCCGGCGTCTTTCCATTCTCTCTCTGACTCTGAGTCTCCAACCTCCCTTTTTCAAGGACCTCCATGATTGCATTGGGCCATCTGCATAATCCAAGACGGTCTCTCCATCTCAAGACCTTGAACTGAGTCCCAGCTGCCATGTCCCTCTTGCCGTGTGGGGTCACAGATTCAGTCTCCAGTGATGAGGATGTGCACATATCAGGGAGACATTATTCGACCTCCCACCTGACACTTCCGGCATCCCCTGGAGCTTTTCAACCTCAGGACTCCGTGAACAGCTGCTGTCACTGACCCACGGCTCTGTCCCTCTTTGTTCTTTCAGAGGAAACGACGTTTGAAGCGGGAGTGAAAGTTCAGATCCACAGTCAGTCCGAGCCGCCTTTCATCCAAGAGCTGGGCTTTGGGGTGGCTCCAGGGTTCCAGACCTTTGTGGCCACACAGGAGCAGAGGGTAAGTCCCCTGGGCTCCCCCAGACCTGTGGTCCTCAGCCTCCTCCGGCCACTTGCCGAGGCACCAGGAGGAGAAATGAAATTGCCACCCAGGAGGCTCTGTAAAGGGCGTCACCCTGAAATCGGAGGAATGCGCTGGTTAACCTCCGTCTCCAGTACTCCCACACCACCTGTCGGTTCCTGAAACTGGGTCTCAGGGAAAGCTTGGCTTGTTTTCTGCTACATTGAATTGGTTGAGAATTTCTTTTTTTTTTTCCCTGAACATTCTGTCACAGTAGACTTTTCTGAGTGCGTTAAATTAAAAAAGTAATTTTTTTTTCTTTTTGCCAATGGATATTAAGGGAAAACTGCCAACCAGGGTTTGATAGTCTCATCACTGTGTTTCTAATGCAATTCAAAGTGACCTATAAAAAGAAAAGGAATGGAAGTGTTCCTCCCCATTCGAGTTAAGTACACGGGCTCCTGCCTGCCCTTTGATGTAGCTCTGGGGAGGGCCCCACCTGCCCCAGGATGGCTGCCTGGACTCTACCGGTTCACAGAGGGAGGGCTGGCACCGCCTCACCTCTGAAGTGGGTTTTACATCTCAGAGGGGACACCTTCACCAACTCTCCATAGGGTGGACGTCTCAAAGCAGGATGATGGAGATACCTGGGCACTGTTTCCTTTTTTATCTCCAGAGATTTGTCTTCTGGTTTGCCTAGAATAAAAGGCAGAGAGCCTTCGACGCTGCCGGAGGCCTCAGCCAGGTCATCCAAGATGATTCATAGGGAGAGGCTCTGAGCAGTGAGTTCAGCACAGGGTGGCAGGTGCTGGCTCTGAGCTGGGAGATAGGGAGCGCCTGGGAGAGGGTGACAAGAGTGGCGAGGAAAGATGTGCACAGAGAACACGGGAGCTTGTCTTGAAAATCTGGCTCATCTGCCATCTTTCATCTGCTACTGATCACAGCTGTTCAGCCACTTTATAAAGCGATATTCTGCATTAAAGGCTGGTTACAAATCTGTAAGCAAGCTACATTTTTGAGTCTCTGGGGAATTCTGGGTGGTGGAGGTTCCTGCACCGTGGTCTGTACACATGTCTGGGCAGTTGATAAAGGCCAAGGTCAGCCTTCCATTGAGGCCCCTGGGGATGGGATGGCAGCTCTGAGGCAGGGGCAGGGGTACTGAGAGGTGAGTTGGGCCCCAAAGACTGAGGCAGGTGGCATCAGCTAAAATGGAGATATCTATAGGTGGGCAAAGTGGAAACTCAATAGCACAACTAGAAAAGTGTATCCTCAAGGACGAAGAAGAAGAGCATAGAGCAGACGGCAGGAGGCAAGTTTAAGGATAAGGATTTAGAGTCAGGGATAATACGAACACAGATTACCTAATAAAGGCACGCAGATGGGCAGCAGCTTAGGTGAGCCCGGAGTCTGAGCTATAAGACTCAGTAGGCTCTTGGGTCCTGTCCAAGATAAACAAAGCCAGACACTAGTAGAAGTGGTAAAAGCAGATTCCCTTCCATCTGCCCCTTTGCAATAGGGGAGAAGGTGCAGGGTGAGTCTTGGATCTTTATAGAGGAGACTGGGTGCTTAAAGGGAGAATGAGGGGAGATGGGGAGGGCCCAGAAAGGCTTGAACAGAAACTTACAAAAGCTTACAAAAATAAGCAGAAAGGGGTGTGGTCCATGGGGAACCCATGTGGGTCTGCTCACTGGCACTTGTTGAAGTTAGGCTCTCACCCTCCCACAGAGGCTGGGCGACAGAGGCCCTGGCCTCAGGTGTTGGCTGGAGCAAATGATACAACCTTTTGACAACCTTGAGTTTTCTCCAACAGGCACTTTAAGCAGGGTCTAGTGTCACCCCAAGGATGTGTCCTTGAGCCACTAGAAATTATGTAAGTGCTTGTTCCAGTCTTCATAGGCCAAAGTTGAGAGCCAGTGGAGAAGAAGGCTAGACAGGCCTGGCTGGAGCGTGCTCAGAGAAGGAACTTGGTCAGGGCTCTCTTGTGCTGTGAGCAAGCCACATCCTTTCAAGAACCAGGCCCAGGTTAGACCAATAAACATGCATATGAATTCTTGGACTGGCTAAAGTCAATTTTTGAGTTGTCTGAGGCTAGCCTGACTTGGTGGCTTGTGGAATGTGCCGGACACTGCTGACCTGGGGTGCTGTCTGGCCGGTGTCTACTTTGCTAAAGGCGAACAGAGTAAGTGAAACAGCCCTGTTGGAAACTTGAAGGGTTATGAAGGTTGTCGAGAAGGAAGTACTTGGAGGCTGCTCTTGTTCCTCGGCCTGAGAGATGAGCTCTTCCTTCCCCAACCCCTGCTAATCCTCCGTGTGTGATATGGAAAAAGTTTCTGGGCTGGGTGGGAAGTTGGATGATTTCTAAGAAGCTGTAAGTCTCTGCTTCTCTCTCCACTGTGAAACAGAGGGACTCCCCATGGTGAATAGGATGAAGAAGCAGAATAGATTCCCAGCTGCAGAGAGGGCCGATGCGTTATTTGCTTTGAAGTATATTCTCAGCAAATCAACCTCATTCATATGAGTATTTCTATGATTATTCTAACTAATAATAAGTTATTTGTTAAACATTTTACAGCCTTCAAAGCATTTCCGCATCGTCTCATTTCATCATTTCATTCATATTAATGGAGAAATACAAAAACACATCCCAGAGCTAAATCTAATAATACATTATGTTTACACGTATATAAAAGAGCATATTCATAGGCAATAAGACTTGAAGGAAATAAACCAAAATACCCACCGTGGGGGAATTATGAATGATTCATTTTTCTTTCATGATTTTTCCATGTCTTTGATAATGTGGCCTTGTATTATTTATTCATTCTGCAAATATTTGGTGAACACCTACTATGAGAGAAGTCAAGGGATGCGTGGCAGACAAAACCGGCCATCTCTGCCCTCCCAGAGCCTACAGATCAGTGTTTTCTTTAATAAAGGGGAAGATCATGGGAAGCCCATTTGTATGTTCTCATCCTGCCCCGTGCGAATCTCCCCGGCTGGCCCTGGTACTCAACATTGCATTTCATTGATTGTTCAGACACATTTTGACACTTCAGAAATCAGAATTTGTTTTACAATCCATCAGATCTTACAATCAGACCTCTATATTTTTTCTTGCTGGTACCTACAATCATGGTGCATCTTAGAATCTGTGGCACCTGGAGAAGTATGGCAGCTCCAGAGCTCTCCATCCAAGGCTCTGCCACCTCAGCTCCAGCTCAGAGAGGTTACGGGTGACAAGACAGTGGGGAGAAGAAGAAGGTCCTTGCCTGGAAGCTTGTGTGAATTGTGTTAGGTAAATTGACTCCAGAAACAGCCCCCAAGAGGAGTTGGTGCCTTAAAGGAACGGGCTTGTGAATAGGAAAGTCCTCCTGCAGGGTAAAAATCCTCTCACCCATGTACAATTACACACATACACACACACACACACACACACACACACACACACACACCTCTACCTTTTGGATTTTTAAAATCTTTTATTTTTTAATTAAAAAAAAAAGCCCTTGAGCTGTAAGCCAGCCCAGAGATTGCTCTTTAAATCTGCATTTTCCTTGAACCCAATTAAGCCAAGGCATGCCCCTGCCTTCCTGGACAACCTGAGAAATGCTCCCCTAGATATCTCTGCTGCACTTAGAGCCCCTGCATAAGCCCAGAATCTCCACCATCAGACACAGGCACAGGGCAAGATACTGGGAGCAGAAACAGAACCCCGGGCGGGTGGGGGGGGGGGAGTGGAATGGATGAATAGCAATAGCTACTATGAAGTGAGCTTGCACTACCTACCAGGCACCAGGCGGCAGAGTCTCTTGACAGGCACTATCTCATTTAAACCCCCTCAACAGCCCCATGAGGCGGGCATTATCTCCACTTTCCAGATGACGAAACTGCATGGTTAAGTAACTTGCTCAAGGTCGCGTAGCTGGGGAAGCGGCAGGGCTGGGCTCTGAGCCCAAGTCTATCAGGTTCCCAGGCCCATGTTCTTTCTGGTCCACCACACTGCACGGTTGCAATCCAGGCAAACTCTGGGACGGAGCACTGGGAGCTAATGCAGAGAGGGATTGGCTGGGGGACATTTTCTTTTCCTACCCTGAGCTCAAAGAAACGAGACTGCCCAGTGCTGCAAAGAACAAACTTACTTGGGAGCCCAGAGTCCTAGATGGTAATCCTGATTGTGCCATGGGACTTTGGATAAGTCACCCGCTCCCTGGGCCTCAGTTTTCCCACCTGTAGAATGAAAGGACTCCATTAGATGACCTCCAAAGGCCTCCAGCATTCACAGCTTGGGGGTCCCTGCCTGTGTCCACTCAAGGACACGGGGGTCACCTGTAAATGGCACCCGCTCTCTGCTCTACCAGTTGCTGGCTCTCTCCTTCATGCCAGATGGTGTGGGATGCTGTTAACAGGAGGTGAACCTCTCCCCAGCTCTAAGAGGTAGAACCTGGGATCCTACTAGTGAGAAGAGGAAGAAGTGTGGGTAGCAGCCCTAAAACTCTAGAAACAGGCTGTGGCCACCCTCCTTGGTCATGTCCCTTCCTCAGCCCATATAATGGTCACATCTCTACCTGACTTAAAACCCGTACATTCCAGAGCTGCCCGTAACTTGCACAAACCCAAACCCCTTAGAATGGTTCCCAGTGCCCCGCTCACCTCCCCAGCCCTGTCATCTGCCTGTGCTTGACCTGCATGAACCCCTCGTTCCAATGATGCAGAACCATCTGCCAAATGCTCCAGGCTCTTAGATGTGGGAGCCCACTGTCCCTCTGCCCACAATTCCTCCCTTGGCTCGTTGACTTGGCACAGGTCTATTCATATTTCCAGATGCTGCTCAAAGACTCTGGCTTCCCTGTCTCATTCTGCCACGCTCCACGGAGCAGTTCATTGTTCTCTGAAACGCTGGGTATCCCTTTATCCCTTCAACAGTATCCATTGAGCATCAAATGTTCTGGAAGAATGAAGATAAGCAAGACCTGGTTCTGCCTTGGAGGGTGCACAGAACC